GATAAGTATGCACTCGATTGTCCGGCCGCTCTCGACGGAACGTGGAGGACCCTCGTTCGGCCCCGTCGTTCGTCGTCCAACGTCCGACGTCGGCCACTTTACGTGATCGCATAGTTCATCGATTGGGCCCCCTTAATTTGCTTCCCTTTCGGCTTTTTCCGCGGCCGCACACGTGAGCCCCCCCCCCCCCCCCCCNGGTGCTCGGAGGACCCCGACTAAGCCCATTAGCCGAGATTGTTTCTCCCTGCTGCCGGACTGTTCTGCCGTGCTAAGGGAAAACGCCGTATAAGCCTTCAGGCGTTGCCAAATTTCCTTTGACCAATCACTAAATTTCAAGGAAATTTTTGAATATTTTCTTCCGATTCCTCGGGTAATTTTGCTTGTAATTTGATCTAAAAAATCCGAAAATTTTATGGAAAAATTTCGACAATTTTCTTCAAAAATAAATAGTTTATCGCAGGAAATTTGGCAACTCTCGAATGTTCATACGGCGTTCTTCCTTAGCACGTCAGTGTTCCTATTCTGCCTTGCTGAGGTAGAACGCCGTATGAACATTCGAGAGTTGCCAAATTTCCTTCGATAAAATGTTTATTTTTACGGAAAATTGTGAATGTTTTCCCTTGAGGTTTAAAGGAGCTTCAGGTGAAATTGCGAACGAAATTATCTGAAAATTGGAAAGGAAAACATTCATTAGTTTACCAGGAAATTCTTGTTTTATCGAAGGAAATTTGGCAACGCCCGGAGGTTTATACGGCGTTTTATATTAGCACGGCGGTGTTCCTACCCGCTTCCGGCTTGGATCCGGGGGGTTTTTACATCCGACGTGTTCCTAAATTCGTCGTTTGCCTGTCGAAAGGACGTAACTATACATTTCAATTTTGCCGAATTTCCCTTGGCAAATTGCATATTTACCAAGGGATTCTTGGTATTTTCTCACTAAAAATTATGCTGATTTTTCAGCTGATCTCATACGAAAATCAAATAAAAATAAAAAAAAGTGCAAAAGTACATTCTTGTAAAAAATTAAATTTTCCGAGTCAATTTTGCAGCTTTGGAAAGGAGTTACGTTTTTTCGTACCAGAAACAACGGTATACTTGCTCCTCTAGCGTAAGAGCGTATCTCGATATCCACATGAGCCCCGGAAAGCATGGATTTATATGTAAAACAAGGCTCACGCGGAAATTATTGAGACACGCTTTTACGTTAGGAGGGCGATGATACTTAGTATGAGATTAAGAGAATGAGCGACAGAGAGCGGACTGATTATTGGAATGGATAGACAAAGCGATAAACAGATAAGACAAAGGGAAAATGAAGCAATCCGATTGTTTGAAATGGGGGTTGTTGTGGACTTAGGGGAAAGTAACGGACTAACTATATGTCTCTCGTGTGTTGCCGTAAATTAGTCTATTAGAGTCCGTTTCAGATAACTTTTCCTTTTTCGATAAGTGCACTGGATATGGAATGCTCTATTCATTGATTGGACCCATTTACGTTGCCAAAATTACGAAACAAATTTGTTACTTTTCCGAATCCTTGCGGCCCTTATTGAGGAAAAAGTTGGCAAGATTGAATGATGCCACTTATCGAGCACCAGTGTGTTGCGGAGTATCAACCACAATTGAAGGCGCTTTCACGGCCAGTCGCATTTATCAGCTGGATGACGAGCAACTCCTTGAGTCAGGGACCTTGACACACCACTTATCGAGCAACGATGTAAGTAACGCGGTTCATACAAATAAATCCAATATTATCATGATGTTAATAAGAATAAGTTGTTAATCTAGACTCACCTCTCCTTTTTCAAAGCGGGCGTTATCTTTCAGCCACGTTATTTCAGCACGAGGTCGGGACCCTTTAACTTGGCACGTTAGTGGTGTTTCATGGTTGGATACTAGCACCGCAGGTTTATCTAAGATTGTTACTGACACTGGTTTTACTGTAACACACGTAAAGAAATGTGATTAGAAATTCGAAAATCAAAGATACACACAGAGAGGCACCACCCTGTTCATCGATAATGAAAGTATTAAAAAGTGTGTTCAGGTTGCAAAGTTTGAAAAGTTTATTACATTATTTATTATTTATCTCGCACTAGAAAAAAAACACATTGGATCAAGAGTCCAGACGCTTAAAAAAATCGACAAGAAAAAGTACTCTTGATTCAATCAGATTTAAGCTTAAATCAAAAGGAAATCCGCTCAAATTAAGAGGCTTGGTTCTTGATTTAAGCAAAAATCCGATTGAATCAAGAGTCCTTTTTCTTGTCAATGTTTTCAAGAGTCTAGACTCTAGATCAAATGTGTTTTTTCCAGTGTTGTAAAAGGATATATTACCTGATATTTTGGTAAGTTTTTGAAAAATATGCTTAAAAAAATCTTGTGAAATTTGTTTCACAAAAATAATCGAGGCATATGCTGAAATATAACCCCAATAAGCACTTGCACACAATATTACAAATACATTCTTGATTTCGCATTTCATTCGCCATTTTCGTGATATAAATACATCTATTTCTGTCGACTCGGCAACCCCAGGGACACTTGGGAGTCAAACGTTAAGAAGATAGCATTTAAAGGTTATTTACGTAATCGTAAACGATCGATACGGCGAAAAAAATCGACGCTGGGAGGCGTTAGGCAAGCAAATAGATGCTCCTGAGTGAGTTTATGATATCCGAACATCTACGCTGCTACACTCCTGAGATCTGTACGTTTTCGCGAGGGCCATAAATTCAGGCAACTGTGTTTTATTATGACTGGCCTGGGCTGTAAAATTCACTCCGTATCTCTGGTGCCCTCGCGATGTTGGCAAAATACGCTCCGTAAATATTCATGGGGGACTTTTGCAAATTCTTATAGTGGGCTGTTCTCTCTACTTCTATTTGAATCATATAGGGTTAAATGAGCATGAAGTCTCTAGTTTCAACAATCAGAGAACTACATATCAGTTTGTAATAAAAAAACAATTTAAAAAGCGGGTAACAAGGCTAAAATTTCACATGCACAAAACCAAAACGTTTCGGCTGAAAATTCAGCCATCCTCAGTTGGATAAATCAAAATAAAAATGGTTAAAAATCTAAAATAGTACCTGATAAGTACATTTCAATTGGGAATCTTAATGGAATCTTATTTAGGATTCCCAATTGAAAGGTACTATTTTAGATTCTTAATCATTTTTATTTTGATTTATCCAACTGAGGATGGCGGAATTTTCAGCCGAAACGTTTTGGTTTTGTGTATGTGAAATTTTAGCCTTGTTACCCGTTTTTTAAATTGTTTTTTTTATTAGATATCTTGTCACGGGCTGCAGAGCATCTATCATATTTCATATCAATTTGGCAGCTGATAAATACTGCCATAAATTACGAGGGACAGAAAATTATACATGGACGCCTCATCCTCGGACTGATTAACACGACTTCTCCGAGCTTGGAAATAAAAAATTTGGAGGCTGCACTGATGATGGGTCCAATTAGTCCCGAAGCGTCTGAAGTTGCCTTCCTGATTTGTTGTTACCAGTATTCCGCTGTGCTGAGGAAGAAAGCCGTATAAACCTTGAGGCGTTGCCATTTTTCCTTTGATAAACACGAATTTCCTGATCAAATTATGAAGATTCTTCTTCCAATTTTTCAGATAATTTTGTTACAATTTCACCTACGTCCCTGAAAGTTCCAAGGAAAAATATTCATGACTTTCCTCAAAAATAAACATTTTAAAGAATAAAGTTGGCAACTCTCGAATGTTCACACGGCGATCTTCCTTAGCACGGCAGTATTGCACTGGACATTATAACTCTCAAGAGAGAAAATTTAGGCTCTGACGTGATTTTTCTGTCTGCGTCGAGAATTTCAAGATACTGAAATCTAACACACGTTGGCAGAATCACTAACACTCTGTCCAAATGACACGTGCGTCGAACCACAATCAGTTTGTAGAAAATTACATTTCAGTTCGACTCTATCAATTTATTAGCCAAACGATGAGCTTATTTTCCGGGGATGATATGAGTTGCGTTGATTTTGGTTCTTTAAAATCGGAGAGTGCGAATTGTCTGATTTTAGCGAGGACTAAGAACTCTAATTTATCAATCAAAAATTATTTTTTTACATTTTTGATATTTCAAACGTATTTTGCGTGATATTTTAATGAGGAAACATGTCCATAGATCCATTCTGCTGTGCTATGGAGAAACGCCGTATGAACAATCGAGAGTTGCCAAATTTCTCCTCTTAAAATATTAATTTTTGAGATAAATAATGGATATTTTTACTTGAGATACTCTTAAACTTTAGATGACATAACGAAGGGAATTTTCTGGAGAGATGGCCGGGAAATTTTCACAAGTTTCCCTAAAATTTCGAATTTTACCAAAAGAAATTTGACAATGCACGAGGGTTCATACAGCATTCTTCCTTGGCACGGCTGCATTTTAGAAAGTTTTTGTTGAAGAATACTTTCAAATCTTGCAACAGACTTCCCTCTCCTTTCCATCCCGTGATTCCTCACAGTATTCCTTGCTGCGTTTCACACCCTTTCGCTGTGTCGGACCACTCAGATTAAATTCACTCAATTGGATAGACATAGTGCATCCTGAGATAGGATTCGCCTATCCCTCTCGAGAAAATCGGGAGAGTGTCTCCTTACATAGATTTGCGCGCTCGTTTTCCCACTACCCCTCTCTTTCACCCCTCAGATGCTTGTTTCTCTCCGTTTTCAGGAAGGCTCCTCCTCTCGCTGCTTATCTAAACGACATTGACTATTGCCCTTTCTTGGCTACGTTTTCTCACGCATTTATGTACATTTACGAACATTTAATTTGACTCTCTCCTCATGGGTGTTTCTTATCTCGACAAAGCGATTGCGAAGGTACGCGCTCGTTCCTAAGCACTTCTTGTTCCTTTGGGAAAATGATAGTCAATGGCAGTTTTCTAAAAACTATTTTAACTGATTAAAGTCCAGGGTCAATTTGATAGTGTTTAAAGGTAGCCTCAGGATCACCGAAAAATAATTTTTCCTGTCGTATTTCTTAAGAGTCTGGACTCTGGATCCAAGAGCCTTTCTTTCCCAGGGTTACATGTCTTACTGTTCATTTTGAGGCGACCGATTCTTCAGATGAGAAAGACTAATTTGGCGAGGTATCTGTTTCGAGTGAAGTGGATATAAAATCATAGGGCAATTTTTTACATGAACAACTCCAGTTTTTTCGTGGATTTTAAATTGAATGCTCCGGATTTTTTTTTTTTTTTTTTNTTTTTTTTTTTTTTTTTTTTTTTTTTTTTTTTTTTTTTTTTTTTTTTTTTTTTTACCAGACATCAAATTTCAGAGATTTTTCGGCTTCCGCCGTATTATATCAAAAGTTTCCTTATGATGGCCCGGGAATAGAAGGCTCCAAATCACTATAACAGTCAAATTCTTAACTTCTAAACATCATTACTTTGAAAAATCTAAGTTCCCTGTACTTTCACAATTTCTTCCCGCACTGGAAAAAAAACACATTGGGTCTAGAGTCCAGACTCTTGAAAACATTGACAAGAAAAAATACTCTTGATTCAATTGAATTTTTGCTTGAATCAAAAGGAAATCCGCTTAAATTAAGAGGCTTGGTTCTTGATTTAAGCTAGATTCTGATTGAATCAAGAGTACTTTTTCTTGTCGATGTTTTTAAGAGTCTGGACTCTGGATCCAATGTGTTCTTTTTCCCAGTGTACTTTCACAATTTCTTCCCGGATTTCATGTGTATATTTTCCTGGCTGCTATACCTGTAGCTCAGCTTGAAACCCCGTTAATTCAACGGCGTAACGGTAGCCTCCCCGATCCCCTAAATCACCGAAAAATACTGTCGACGAACGGCTTTTGGCCGGGAAACTAATAACTACAATATAAAGTCGAAGCTGGGAGAAGAGTCCCGAGGGCATTGGAGATATCTTACGGTTCATTTCGAGGCGGACGGTTCTCTCGATGGGGAGAACTAATTTGGTGTTGCTCGCCTGGCATTTGTAAGTGGAGTTGAGGTGATCCCTGGACAGGCTCCTGATCTCGAGCTTGCTGACGAGGGCGTTGCGTCCCACCGGGGACACCGTCTCCTCCTTGAGTCGCTCGTTCACGAACCACGAGAGCGTCGGCGCCGGTTTCCCTGAAACACACAAGCAAACGGAGTCTATTAATCAAGGCTCCTCTAACGCACACACCCTCTGTAGTTGTTGCGCCGCACAATGGACAAGATGACAAAATTAAATAAAAAATAAAATCTGGAAATTCCTCATGAAATATTTCATGACATTTCAGAAATTTATGAAAGATATTGAAAATCCCGGCTCCTTTTCATGCTTCCTAAAATGTGAAAGTTGTGACTTTCTTCTATTATTGTGTGTTTGAGTGTGGGTTGCATACTGTAGCCCTTGGAAAATATGAGATATTTCACAGCCTCGTGAAAGAGCCTCCAAAAAAGCCATGAAATATTTCACTGAATTTCCAATCTTTCATTTCATTCTTGCGTTTTATGCCACTCTAACAATGAAACGGGTTATTTGAAGAAGGGCGTAACAGTCAAATTTTCAGAAATTGAGGTTTTGACGGAGTCCTACTCGGTGTTTCTCTCACGAAGGAACGTAACTTGATTTGAAGGCTGTCCAGTTTTCCCCTCGCAAATTGCATATTAACCAACAGAATCTTGTGCATTCCTATCTGAAAATTTCACGGATTTTTCCTCAGATTTCACGCAAGAATCAGAAAAATTTTGGACAAAAATTTTAAGGTACATTTTAAAAAAAAAAAAAAAAAATTATTTTTGAGTCAATTTGGCAACCTTGGAATGGAGTTACGTTCATTTGTCCGGGAGACGACGTCGAGTTAGGTTAGGTTACCAAAATTGCTCTTTAAACGTCTTTTTTTGACACTAGGATAACTGCCTCCGCGGAAAAAAAGCAAAAGTTCTTGGTTGCAGGGTGCTTCCTATTTCTCGTGATAAAAATCACGAGCAAAAACACACACAATAATCTTGAATTCTGGTTTCTCAACATCATGTCCGACACTATTCAAAGACTCGTTCTACTGTGCGGCATCATTAGAAGACTGAGCTCTAATGAGCGATTAGAAAAGTGGTCGGCAATCAAGCTATGAGCTGGAAATCACCTTCGTTGATGGGGAGCCCCCTGGTCCCGGGGGGCGGTTTAAATTTTTCTCTTCTTCGTGCTTGGAGGGAGGCTCCGATTTTTCTGGGTTATCCTCGTGCGTCTCAAATGAAACTCCTTCGAGATTCTAGGCTTTGTGATTGACCTACTTATTTCGAAAACGCAAGTAGACATAATCACCTCAGCGCCCATATAGGGAGAGTAATGTCATTTCTACACTTCTCTTTGATTCGTTCATCAGTTTTAAGGCCCAGATACACATGCGAGTTACAAGCGTTTGTTGAGAGGGAAACACTAACGGGCAGGGAGGATTTAGATATCTCGACGACGAGCAATCGAAATCCTGGTTTCCTATTGGTGTCTCACTTTCAACGAGCGCTTGTAACTCGCAATTGTATCTGCTGCATTAGACTTTTCATACGATTCCTAAGGATGAATTTAAACAACCCGATCAGAATTATTATAACCGAGGGAAAAATGAATGACATTCGCAGAGGAAATGTACATAAAATAATTTGTTTTAGAAGTCAGAAATGGAAAAAAAATTAATAACACTTTCGGAGCTCTGTTGTCATCGTCGTTGTTTCGTTCGGTCCAAAACTAGGAATTGAGAAGCTTCGGTGAAAGCCTAAGACTTGCCGATTAATCAAAGGTCGGTAAATTGTGCATGTTTCCATTTGTATTTTTTGTAGTGGTGCTACAAAGGTTACGTTAATAACACATCCGGAGATAAGAGAGACGTATCCCGGCCTCGTTTTTAAATTCTTCTCCTAAATTGGAGTGACAACTCACCGGCAGCACAGAGCGGAGCAAAGCGAGTTTACGCCTCGCGCCTTCAATTCGGCAGATGCAACACGGACATCCATCAAGCACGAATAGTTGTATCACGGCGCCGTTACCAACGCGCATCCATTCTCTCGCTCTATTACCATATTGTGTTAGTCTCCACTTGTATTTTTTGTGCTGATGCTTCAAAGGCTACATGAGCAACACAGTCGGAGATGGGAGGGACGTAATTCGGTCTCGTTTTATACCTCAGGTAGTGCAACCAAAATTCAAGCTGGCGCCGAAATCGGCCAGAATGTTAGATGAGATCATCATACTTTTTTTTATCCATGATAACTCCTGTTCGATCTGACACTTTGGGGCGGTTTATTAGTCCCAAACTATTGGCAGACCACTTTTTTATCCTCAATTGTATACGACTACGCACAATTGTACAATGTACGCAGAATTCCTATTGTAAGCGGTCACAATGGACCACTAGACGAGGTACGAATTTAAGCAATCTGATAAATTTTTCTTAACCAGAATTTCACGTAAAACACGATTCGCACAACGAATATTACTGAAACCAACTCCTAACGAAGATATCAACGTTTTTATTTCACATTGGTTACAAGGAATTTGAACTGCCTGCGCACAAGAAACTCAAAGCTCTACGTGAGTCAAATCGCGCACTACGACGGTTTCAGCAAGCTCCTCAATCGAGCAATGTTCATTTCCCATCATGTGTTGTTCAAACTATAAGCAATTTGCTATAGCTGAGCCAAAGCGTCAAAATTGAGGCTACCAGATTTTTAAATCCCAGATACTGTCATGATAACTTATGGCGCGCGATGTGAATCACGTAGAGCATTGAGTTTTCATGAGCGGGTGGTTTGAATTCACGCATCAGGAATCATTAAATATCTTCGTAAGGAGTTGATTTCGATAATTTTTGTTGTGCGCCTGCGCATCGTGTTCTACGTGAAATTTTTGTTCAGTACCATAAACCAGAATGCTGAAATTCGTACCTTGTCTAGTGCTCCATTGTACAATGTACGTAGAATTCCTATTGTAAGCGGTCACAATTGTGCTTAATTCGACTGCGTAAACAGACGCTCCACAGATCGCGCGCGGAGGAGATGATACGGTTACACAGGAAAGTCCTCTGATGAATGATACTTTGTATTCTCGGTTGGGCACCGTAGCGTAAACTCCCGGCTCATCTTTTATAATTACTTTACCAAGTATTCTTAAGTTGTCCTAAATTGTTCCCCCACCCTCCCCTCTCCGCGCGACCACGGCGACGGTGCAGCGATACTAAATAAATTACGGCCCGCTTTGTTTACATGTTGCCCACGTTTTATAACCTGGAATAAAGTCGGAGCTTTAAATAATAAACTTGAAGGCGTTTAAGTTTGATTTTCCCAGTTGTTTAAACCGAACCGGGCCGCAGTTTAATTTCATGCTTAATGAGCGTAAGCTCGGTGTTTCCGCGTCGCTGTTGCCCGACTCGTGTCTGTTGTCGCACAGACGCCCCGCGGGGAGATCTCCTAGCCTGTTGCGAACTTCAGCTGCTGCAAACAGTGAAGATTTTCTTCAAAAATCAAAACAAAATGGAGATGTTGCATGTGTGAGGGATTTGTGGTTTGACCATTGATCCTTATGTAAAAGTTCGCGAGCAACACGATGGTGCCACTGGTTTTCTCTGAAATCATCTCCCAAGCTCAAAGAAAGCTCTCAAAGTGAGGCCAAAATGGAGGGGATATCCCACCCTACCCTGAGAGTCCACCTCTACATTGAAACAAACTCTCCATGCAAAGATAGGGGGCAAATACATTGATAGGGCTGCCACTTTATTTGGGGACTCCAAAACTGAAAACACGGCAACCCTGCTAATGTATTTGCTCCCTATCTTTGCATGGAGAGTTTGTTTTAATGTAGAGGTGGACTCTCAGGGTAGGGTGGGATATCCCCTCCATTTTGGCCTCACTTTGAGAGCTTTTTTTGAGCTTGGGGGATACTTTTAGAGAAAACCAGTTGCACCATCGTGTTTCTCGCGAACTTTTACATAAGAATCAATGATCAAATCGCAAATCCCCCACACCTGCAACATATCCATTCTAGGACTCCCTCCATATCTCACAATGGAGAATGGATCTGTTGCACGCAAGAAATTCAGTCAATGTGGAAGTCTTTATGGTAAATGGAACTATATGCAAGTGGAAAGATGGAGTGTGCTCGTTAGTTGAGGGCCATAAGAATGAATGGGGATTTTAAAGCGCCAATGACGTCAGTTGCAACTAAGCCGTCTTCATTGTTGTTCTCGTTCGCCTATAACTCATGAGCCCTGTCCAGAACGCTTTTGTTACATGTCCACGGCTCACGACTTAGCTCTCGGTTCCTTTTGATTTAATGTAAAATCCAGCTTTTCCATTTCCTCAAAAGGAACTTTTCCAGTGTCCACTGTCCATCCACTTTTACATTGTTTCTTATCAAGCTCACCACAAGAACACCCCATCTTTCCACTTGCACATAGTTCCTTTTAGCATAAAGACGTTCAATTCATATTCTCAATACAGGTAAAATCGCACGAAAATCTCGTTGGGCACGTCAAAAAAGTCTGAAATCCATATCCCTTCATAGACATTCCCTGACTTTTTTTTACAAATCCCTGTCTTTTCCCGGTCGTCGTAAATTTCCTGATTTTCCCGGTTTTCCAGACAGCCGGTAACCCTGCGTTATGCGTTTCTCTTTTGATTTTATATTTTAGCGTATATGATATGGAAATGAAAATTAGTTGAAGACGCAAACCTATTCGATAATATAGTATATCGTTTCAACCCAATCACCCACCGATCGAATCCCTTTAAAAAACAATTTATGGAGCCTTAAGTCAGGTCCCATCTCACTGCGCTCATAAAATTCTAGATCGATAAGCATAAACGCACTACGATGGCAGTGCGCTGAAAACGAATGATACGTTCCTCACACCTCTGAGAGAGTGCTAAAAACACGGCAGGGAGAAAAATCATATTCCTTCCGAGGTCGGTGCGTCTCTCACCTTCTCAGACGTTTCACCTCCATCCGCTAAAAGCTGCTAAGGTGAAACGACCGTTTGTACGTTCGCACGTTGTGAAATTTTGCATATAAAAATACGATTTTTTTAGGGAAAATGGTTGAATATCTAAATTAAGGTGATTCGATGGACGCCATATTTCGTGTCAGAACGGCATAA